CCTCTCCTCCTCCTCCTCCTTTTCCATCTCCTCCTCCTCCTCCTCCTCCTCCTCCTCCTCCTCCTCCTCCTCCTCCTCTTCCTCCTCCTCATCCTCCTCTTCCTCTTTTCCCTCCTTATGCCACAGGGCGATCTGCAGATGGCCAAAATGTGCGCTGCAGGTCGGCAGGCACGCCTGGAGAGGGCCTCTTTCCTCCTGGAGACCCCCTGGCGATTTAGGGGGGGGCCGGGGGGGGGAGGAGGCCCACTGACGTCACGATTCGCGGCAGCGTCGTCTGGGAATGCCCAGGAAGGCTCATTCCTAAACGGTGCCAGCGCGAATCTGAACGTGATCCCAGGGGGCGGGATGGCGCGGGCGTTATCGCGAAGATGAAACACGGGGCTCCTGGCTGGCCCCGCGGCAAAGACGCTTACAGGAGGGTCAGCTGAGGCAGCGATGGCTGAACTTCGGGGAGGCCTCCTCGTTGCCTCGGCTGGACGCAGCCCAGAAAACTGGACCGTCTGGACCGCGGATGGTTCCGAGGGACCGGTTCAGAGCTGTCGTTGTGTCAGCTCGCCCTGCCCCCATTCCCGACAACGGCGTCAGCAGCGCGACGGCTGCCAGCCGCAAGCTGGCATGCTCGGAGTGAACTCACTGGCAAGCTGCCTGGCAGCAACGCTGACAACGCGGTGTACGCCAGAAGCCAGCGGGCGCGCTCGGAGCAGGCACCGCTGGCAACACCGCTGACAGTACACCAGTAGCCTTGAACAGGCGCTCCCTCGCTTTCGTGTAAAAGGGGGCGCAGCTGTTGATTTCGCGTGCGCCTAGTTTCTGGCCGAATGGCGCGGTATGCGCGCAAGCAGGATCCGACTTCGATACCCCCTCTCCCTCCTTGTTCTCCTCCTCGCCCTCTCCCTCCTTGTTTCCTCGACGAGAGCACGGACACTACTGAAACAACCCTCTCACTACTACGATTTCGGCCATTTGAGTTCGACGCTTGCCAACACTTTGGAGCATTTTGACTCCTGAGAGACAGTGCGGAACCACCAGGACGGTGCATGCACTGTTCTTTGCTGTTGACTGTGGTTTTCATTGTCCCGTAGAGTGGCGGCAGTACCACATACGTCTACATGTTCGGTGCTTGGCTCTGCCAATAATGGCATCTTTCGCTTGCACGTAGGCATTGCCAACCAATCAAGGCTAGTTGAGGTCTGACGCTTTGATGTTGCCGCTTCGAGGGCGTATCTTTGTTATCTGTGTTGCATTTCGGTTTGTCGCCGTTCGACTCGCCATCCATGCTCGTAAACATTCGACCTGTGTTTTTTCCAACGTGCCATCAGGGTGCGTCCTTTGTGGTTCTTCGGAATTGGTTTTGGAGTATTGTGCCCTTCTTTCTCCTTCCCCTACACGTTGTCCGGCTTGGGTTCTCTAGAGTCCTATGTTCTTGTCGAAGGGTGCCAGATCCAAGATTTCAAGGGTTGCGTGCCGAGAATATCTCTGCGCCCGATCATAATCTCGATCATGTGATCACGCGATGTGCCAGCGTCCCTCTGCGGATAGAGGTGTGTGTGTGTGTGTTTGTGTTTGCGTGTGGCTCGTCGCCTTTGTCCTGAGGGGGTGGGCCGCGCCTGCTCGAGGGCGTCGTCATCGTCATTGGGAGAAGGGGGTCGTCCTCTCCACCCGCTTTTTCAGGACGGGGAGGAGGACTCAGGCGGCAGATATCCAGGTGTTCAATGGTATCCGTTGTTTTTTCGTAGCCGTCATCCTACATTATCCGACGTCTCCCATCAGTCCATCCCAGGTCCCCAACTCGACGTGTCCCCACTGGCTTGAGCATGAGTGTAAGCCGCTGGAGCGTGGCGGGTAGGATGCCTGGGTTGTGTGCGGAGTTGCACTGGAAGTCGCCATTGTCCCTGGGTGCGCCCGACGTCGTTCCAGGATAAGCGCGTGCTCGAGACATTTGCCCTTCGCGAGCATGAGCTTTCGCTTGTGGGAGAGAACGCGCTCCGACAAGTTTGCTTTCTTCCAGGCGCTCGATTCGCTTCCCCGCGGCAAATTGGGAGGGACGTCTGCGGGCACTCACGGCGAGGTGTCGCGTAGAACGTCGGGTGCGCGGTGGGGGATGCCAAGTGGTGAGTTAGACGATCATTCCGTGATGGGGTGATACGGTCTGTCTTTCCGTCACGAACGTTGTGACATCGTTCATTGTTGCTCCGGGGAGGAGCAGGCCTTACGCGTCTTGCCTCCTGCGATTCGGGGCCTCAGTGCCAGAAGTGAGCGCCTCAGCATGCGCGCCACTGCCAAAACGACTCCCACGCCTTGCCACAGCGATGCGCTATCCCAGCAGGTGCACGGAGCCCGACGGCCGCTTCAGAGTAAGTCGTTGATTTCAGACTTGCTTCGGCTAGGACACACGCTCCCAGGGCGGACGAGCCACCCTCGGGTCCAGGCGTCGTGACAAAACAAACACTGTAAGCAACTTCGCCTCGCTTTGGGCCCCAGGGGCCCTCGCGGGCCGATCCAGCTCGAGAAGTGCCGCAGAATAGATGCGGTCGGAACCTCCAGCCGTGACTCGTCGATCACGACTTCGGTCCTCGGAAATTGTGCGAGCAGAGGTCCAGAGCATTACCCAGATCTTTGACAGAGCTTACTTTCAGGGCCCCCGCCATTTCGAGCGGAACCCCTCTGACCGCTTCTCGTCGTGGATTACCTCAGTGGTCTGGGAAGGGCGCTCGGCCGCCGAGACATGGAAAACGAACGTGCACGCCGCGATTTTTTATCAGCACTCCGGCGTCGCATTTTTGTCCGTGGGGTGGGCCCAGGGGATCTCGACGGTCTGCGCGAGGTCAGCTTTTCAGACCGAGATGGTGTTGGACGGCCGCGCGGCCAGAAATTGCTTCTGGAGGCCAGGCATGTTGAAGATGCCGCGGTGGGGATCTTTTTGGGTTGATGGTCCTCCATCCTCCGTTCCCTCCGCCTCGGATCGTTCAGAATGACGAAGGAGGCCTAGTAGGAGGACGAGCGGACGATGTGAAGGTGGAGGAGGATGCGAAGAAATGAGTGCACCACCCCACGGGTGGGGCTTTGCTGTCCGCCGCTTGTCATCGATTGCGGCCGAAACGGGAAGCGGACGAGGACGAGGAGGAGGAGGGCGAGTGAGGATAAGCAGAAGGGAGGAGGAGACGGAGGAGGAGGAGGAGGAGGAATACAGGAAACATAGCATGCAGAAGAGGAGGAGGAGGAGGAGTCGCAGGAGGAGCATGAGAAGGAGGGGGTTTAGGAGGAGGAGGAAGAGGAATAATAATGATCACAGAACAGCAAGAGGAGGCGGAGGAGGAGCGACAGGAGGAGGAGGCGGATGTGCAAGATAACGAGGAGGAGGAGAAGGAGGAGGAGGAGAATGAGAAGGAGAAGGAGAAGGAGAAGGAGGAGGAGGAGAACAGGAGAGGTAGGCCCTTGGCGCCGCGCTCAGCCCCGCCACCTCGCCACCAGCAGCCCCCGCGCACCAGGCGTCGGGGGAGGACAGCTCGTGGCACGGCACCGACTCCAGGGAGGGAAGGGGCCGGGCGCTGAGCTGCGGCGGGGCCTCCTTCCTTCCATCTCTTCTCCTCATCCCCCTCCTCCCCCTCCTCCTCCTCCTCCTCCTTCTCCTCCTCCTCCTCCTCCTCATCATCATCATCATCATACTCATTTTCATTCTCTTCCTCCTCCTCCTCCGCCTCCTCCTGCTTCCTCCTCCGCCCTCCTACCTTCTCCTCCTCCTCCTCTTTCTCCGTCTCCTTCTCCTCCTCCGCCGCCTCCTCCTCCTTATTCTCCTCCTCTAGTACCGTATTGGCTCGAACCCTGTGTCGCTGGCCGCCTCCCCGAGCGCGCGCCGCCGCTTGTGGCCGATGCCGGTACGTAGAAAGGGTGCCAGCACGGCGGCGCTGGAGGCCACGCGCGGTGCGCTGCTGGCCGTCCACGCGGCTGCCAGGCTCGCGGCCGCCTCGGGGCGGCGGCCCGCAGCGCGCTTGGTGCGCGTGGCGAAGGCCTGCTCCGCACGGTGGTGGCGCAGCTGGGCGCGCAGCCCGCCAACCCCGAGCCAGAGGCCGACGCGGGCCCCCCGACGGCGCAACGACGCCGTCGCCCGCGCAGACGTGGCCGAGGGCACGGCGGTGGCGATGACAGGAAGGGGGTGGCTGGCGAGGCGGCGGCAGGAGGAGCTGCAGTCGACGAACAGCCGATGCTGACCGACGAGTGGGCGGATGCGCCCCCTGTACACCGCTGATATCTCCGACGCGGAGTTCGTCGCTGAACCACAACATCTTCTCGGTGCGCGTCGCAGCGCACGCCACGCCACCTTCGTCGCGGTCCTCACGGCGATCAGGGGGAAGCTCCAGTATTTCCTCTGGATTAGGTGCTTCGCAGGTGGCAGGGCCGCCCGTTGGACCCCAGACGTTGGGTTGTCTCTATTTTTGGTTCTCTCTCTCTCTCTCTTCCTCCTCCTCCTCCTCTTCCTCCTCCTCCTCCTCCTCCTCCTCCTCCTCTTCCTCTTCCTCTTCCTCCTCCTCCTCCTCCTCCTCAGCCTCCTCCGCCTCCTCCTCCTCTCGGGGTACTGTGCTCCGCGGCCTGCGGGTGCGTGCGCCGTGTAGCCTGGGGCCTCTCATGCCCCCTCGGACTGGCGGGGGCGCCTCACTGTGCCGGGAGCTCGGCGGCACCAGGGGCCCTGGGGCCGCCAGGGGCGCCGCCAGGGGCGCCGCCAGGGAACGTCAAACACCCGCGTCAAAAGCTGGGCGCTTAACTGGCGGGGCCTTCGGCATGTCGCGCGGTGTTCCTGTTGACGATCCCTCGGCGGCCCCGACACCCTCGGCGCCGCATCGGGAAACCGGCCGTCCCAGAAAGTCCCGGAGCCTCCGCGGGGCGCGGAGCGCCGCGGCCTCGCCGGCTGGAGGCGTCTCTGACACGTGTCCGAAGGGGCACTGCGGCAAGGGGGTTTGCGCGGCGCGCCCACGTTGCATGGGTGGGTGGCTGCGCTGGTGGCTGCCAGCGCGAGGCCGCGCGCTCTTGTAGAGGTTCAGTTGTGTATCTCCGCGCGCCAGACTCGTATTCCCGTTTGCCGCCTTGGCCACCTGATGATCAGGTTTCTGTTGCTGCACTCGTGTAGGCTACGTGGCTCCTGCAACGTTTCTTTGGTTTCGAGTAATCTGTCCGGCCCACTTCTCCTTCCTGCTCCTCCTTCCCCGATGTCTTGTCCGTCTGTCTGCTGATGTTGCTGCGTCTCCCGTTGCTGAACTGCCAGTTCCGCGCTAGGCTGCTCTCCATTTCTCCACATTCTTCTCCACATCCTCTGGAGCGCGAGTGACATCATTGTCTTCCTCTTGCTCATCCTGCTCGTCTTCCTCCCTCCGCGCATGCCCAGGCGCACGAGTGGCGCAGCCCAGGATGTTACTCCACGCTGGTGTCATGTGCAGAGTATTGTTGCACCAGTTTTAAACACTTGTGAGACCACTAGACCATGTCAAACCATGTCTATCCAATCCTTGACCATCTTAATTATGTGAACCGCTTTTAGACCGACACCACTTTTAAGATTGCCCTCTGACCATTGTTACGCAACCGTGAACCCACTTTCGCCTGGGCTTTCGCTTGGGCGGCTGCGGGGGCGAATGGGAATACGACAAGGCGACAGGGAATACACCCTAGGTGAAGATTCACATGTCGTTGTAAAACGTGTGTTTTTTCATGAGGCCGACGATCGGAACTTTGCGATCGGGCTTATGTTTTCGCATGGCGAGATCACAGCAGAGATTGATCCAAACAGTCTTAGAGTATGTTCAATCATTGTTAGATCATTGTCAGAAAAAGGGTTCGACCACTTCTAGAGCAACGTTGCGAGACCTCTACAATGTGATAGTACTTTTGGACCAGCTGTCGGTCGCCCGGTCGCAGACTCGACACTGCGTTGGCCAGGCGGGATGGCGATAATGGGGGCAAGCGATTAAGACCCCCCCCCGTCCTGGGGGCCCCAAAATGAATGAGCGGGGCAGACTAAAAGAATTGAGCCGCCAGAAATTATTTTTTTAATCGTCTGCCCCCCTGGCGTTTTGTTTTGCCGCCTTGCGGAAACTGATTTTCTATTCGTCCTCCTGCGTTCGTTTGATCACCCGCGGCCGCGGGAGGAGGATTGCGGAGAAGGGGCGCCGGAAGCGCCGTTAGGTAGTTCCAGCGCAGATCCAAGAAATCCACGGAGGACCGCCGAAAGTTTACGCTTTTGCAGTTTTTCACCCCCGACTTAAGAACCAACCTGAGGACGGCCCAGCTGTCGTCCTCGCGGAGGGCGGTTGGAGCTTGAAAATGAGGCCAACGTTGCCGCGGGAGCAGCGTGTCGGAAGAACCGAACAAGTTCGGATTGAATTCGGCGTCACCCCAACATACGTATACCATATGTGTGTCACCCCCCCAGGCGGCGACGCGCGCACCGAGGAATCTTATAGTAAATATGTCGCGGCGGGCGCGTTCTGGCCACACCGCTCGGGAAAAAGGATATACTACAAGATGGGTATACTATATGTTCGGGTCGGACGCGCGCCTCCTAGGAGAACACATAGTACTAGTACGTCTCTGTGCGTCCCATGAACAACAGATATGAGCATCACACTCCCCCAATCTTCTGTGTATAGAACACAGCACGCGGGAGGATTCGAACTGAGCTAAAGCTCGAACATGAGGTCAGCGTTACAGCGGGAACAACATGTTAGAAGAGCCGGACACGTTCTGATTGAACAAACAAATATGAACAAATATGAGAAACGGATTCGCGCCAAGCTTGTGTAATCAAAAACACAAGACGCGGAAGGGGGCAGGCAATCTTCCGGAGTGCATCAGGGGAGAAACGGGGAAGAATAACATGCATATTGAATAACAGTAGAGGCTAGAACAGCGAGGGGAAGGAGGAGGATGAGGAGGAGGGGGAGGAGAATAGGAAGAAGAAGTGGAGAAGGAGGTCGCTGTCTGAAGGCGGCGCAGCATGTCTGCCTTCCGCGCAGGACTGACGTATTAGAATTTCTTACTTCCAATTCACGGCTGGCCAAAAGCAACCCCCGCGGCCTCGAATTGTCCGCCCCTGCGGATTCGAATCGTCAGCCCGCGAAGTCCTTCCCAGCTTTGCTTGCCCGGCACTAAATTGACCCCCCGCCCCCCCGTCCTGAATTGTCAGCCCGCCCCCCCCCCCCGGGGGCCTCCAGACAACCCGGAATTGTCCACCCTCCGTCTGCCTGCCCCGCCCCCCCGTTATTGCGGTGGCGCGAAGGCCCGCGAAACTATTTTCTAAAATCGTCCGCCCCAGGAAGTTGTTTTATTCGTTTGCTCCCAGTAACGATAATGGGGACGAGGAGGATGAAGGACAGGAGGAAGAGGGAAAGGTGGGAGGAGCAAGAGGATGCCCATGTGGATGCGGAAGGGGGAGGACGACGAGGCGGACGAGGAGGAGGAGGAGGATGAAACCAGCAGTCGCGGCCGGCGAATCGAGGCTCAAGAGTCGCCCTGTAAATGGCGCAGTAACTGTGTATGTGGGCAGGAAAAGTACAAAGGGTGGCGGGGGCGCGCGGGGAGAAAGGGTGACGGAGGGGAGGCCAGAAAATTGCTCGCGACAAGTCGTGGCGAGCGCGGCGCACTTGTAAATGGGACGGTGGTGGCGCGACGAAGATGTGACCACGTCGAGGTCGCGCCTCGGGCGGCTGGAGTTACGCTTCTTCGCCAAAGGGGGTGCGGCGGGTTCAAACGAGGCGCCCCGGCACCCCCGCCTGAAACAGCAAACCAACGTCTAGCCATTCTGGCCTCTTCCTTGAGCCTGCACGCGTGCCCCGTGCGTGCCCCGCGCGTGCACCAATCGGGCGGGCCCCAAGTGCCAGTCCTCTGGGGCGCCCTTGCGGGGTGCCACCCACCCTCCCGGCTGCGCTGGCCCGTAGGCCCGTAGGCCCTCCAGGGTGGTTGGCGCTCGCAGCGGGGCGGACCTGCCCCGAGGGGTGCTCCACGCAGTCCAAGCACGCAGTCCCCCCTACTCCTGGTTTTCGTCCCCCTCCTCCGTTTCCTCCTCCTTCCTCCTCCTTCCTCTCCTCCTTTTTGCCCCCTTCGTCGTCCTCCTTTTCCTCCTCCTCCTCCTCCTTTTTCTCCTCGTCGTCCCCTTCGACGTTGTCATCGTCCTCCTCCTCGTCCTCCTCCTCCTCCCCCCTGTCGTCCTCCTCCTCCTCCTCTTCCTTCTCCTTCCCCCTCGGTGCCCCCCACTTTAACCTACCCCGAGGATAGCCACTTGTTTTTTTCCGAAGAGAGATTATTGAAGGCGCATGCGCGCTGCGCACATGCGCGTGCGCCGAGACATGTTGGATTTCGCTGCGCCCTGTGGAGGCATATAATGGCACTGGCGTGCCTGAGAGCAGTATTCTTATCTCTTGGGGAGTATGGGGGCCGCTTTGGGAGGACCTCTCACGCAAACGGTCGGTTTCGAATTGGCCGTCTTGTCGCAAGACTCGGTGGCAGGATGCGCGATGTTGGCATCATTCCTTCGCCCGCCAGGGTTCAGGATG